TTGTCTCCTTTTGTCTCTTTTTGTCTCATATATATATATATATGAGACAAAAAGAGACAAAAGGAGACAAAAAGAGACAAAAGAGACAAAAGGGAGAAAAGAGGAGACAAAAAAGAGATAAAAAGAGGCATAAAAGGAGACAAAGGAGATAAATAATCTTTTTTATCTCCTTTTGTCTCCTTTTTGCCTAGTTACATTTTTGTCTCTTTTCTTGTCTCTTTTTTTGTCTCTTTTTTTGTCTCTTTTTTTATCTCCTTTTCTTTCTCCTTATTTTTATGTCTGTCCCTTTGTCTATGTTTTTGTCTTTGTGACTGCCTTACTCACTAAAACCCTAAACCCTAATCTCTAAACCCTAAACCCTAATCTCTAAACCCTAAACCCTAATCTCTAAACCCTAAACCCTAATCTCTAAACCCTAAACCCTAACCCGTCAAATTAGTACAATAAAAACGACCATGAGGGAGTATTACTAAAAAGCCCTCCTGAAGACATAGCAGTAACCCTACACCCTAAACCCTAAACCCTGCACACTAAACCCTAAACCCTAAACTCTCTTCCCCAAGCCCTAAATCCCCGTAAGCCCTAAACCCTAATCCCCCTGTTGCTTATTGATAAGAGGGGAATATAAAGAGGAGAAGAAATGCAAACCTTAATCTTATTAGGGTTTATGTTCCCTTGGTGCAACTTAATTAAGGGCAATTGAGGTGTACGTACACCTCAATGTATAAGAAGGAGCGAAGTTTGTATATGCGTTACAAACCCTAAACCCTTAAAAAGGGTTTAGGGTTTGCTTTCCTTCTATAAAAAAATAACGATTCTTATTTATTTTAATTATTTTCTTTTCTTTTCTTTATTTTATTTATTTTTTATAAATAAAAAGAAGAAAAAAATGAAAAGAAAAGAAGGATTATAATTGAGGTGTACGTACACCGCAGAAGGCTCGAATGTCTGTGTCCATTGGGCAGGCAGCGGCGGTAACCTTTTTTATCTTTTTTGTTGTCTATTAATTAAATAAATATAAAATAGATGACTAATTAATTAAATAAACAAAAAGTATTAATTAATTAAGGGTTTTATAAGCAAAAAGGAGAAAAATATATATATAAAACCCTTTTTCTTCCTCGAGGCCGTGAAGCACTGCGGTGTATGCGCGTACACCGAAGTGTATATTCATGTTTATATTTTATGTTTTTCTTTCTTTATTTTCTTCTTATAATTAATTTATTTCTTTAATCTTATTTATATTTATTTATTTCTCTCTTTTTCTCTCTTCTTTTATACTTTAGGGTTTAGGGTTTAGGGTTTAGGGTTTACCTCTATACACCGCAGATCGCTCATTGAAGAGCTGCCTATACACCAGAAAACCCTCCATAGAAAAATATTATTTTATTTATATTCTTAATAAGGAGAGGAAAAGGAGACAAAAAGGAGACAGCAAGGAGTTTCTTCTGTTCTCCTTATTCTTCTTATTCTTCTTCTTTCTTATTCTTATAGGGGACCCTAAACCCTTAAACTCTAAGCCCTTTTTTTCCCTCTTTTCTTTCTCCTTCTAGTTAGTTAGCTAGCTAGCTAGCTAGCCAACTAGCTAGCTAACAAGGAAGCTGTGGGGTTGCATGCAGGCATCTCCCTTTTTCTGCTGCTGCTGTTGCTGGTGTACAACTATAAGGGTTTAGGGTTTAGGGTTTAGGGTTTTATCTGCGGATTAATCAGAAGACAAAATGGCGGATGTAAGTTGGCGAGGATGATACCTCATTTTTCCCCCCCTTTCAAACCCTAAACCCTAAACCCTAAACCCTAAACCCTAAACCCTAATATATTTATGCATGCAGGAAGCAGAAAGTATATTCAAAGTATTTGATAAAGATTTTGATGGTAAACTTCATTCCTTAGAAATGCATCAAGCATTAGGAGCTGCAGGATTATGTCCCTCGTAAGGGTTTAGGGTTTAGGGTTTGGGGTTTAGGGTTTAGGGTTTGGGGATATCAACAATAATAGAGGGACGGCACCATGCATGCGTGCATGCAGGCATACATGATGTCTTGCTGCTGCTGCTGTTGCTGCTGTTCTTGCTGCTGTTCTTGCTGCTGCTTTTGTGTGTCTCCTTTTTGTATCGCGTTTGTCCCTCTCCCCTTTCTTTCTTGCCTGTGAATATGAATCCAACCCCTGTTGCTGCTGCTGTTGCTGCTGCTGCTGCTGCTGCTGCTGTTGCTGGTGCTGCAGCATAGAGGACGTACAGCTAGCAGTAAAGGAGGCAGGAGAAGGAGGAGGAGATATTCAATTATATAAATCTTTGTTGGAGAAATTCAAAAACACTAAACCTACTGTTGATTCATTAAAACCCTTATTTAAGGTAAATTAGGGTTTAGGGTTTAGGGTTTAGGGTTTAGGGTTTGATTTCTTTTCTAGGGTTTAGGGTTTATTTCTGTAATAGGAGGGTTTAGGGTTTATTTAGGGTCTATCTTTCCTTTTTTTTGTACATATGTTTGTTGCATAGATGAATGCATATGGATGTTTAGGGTTTAGGGTTTAGTGTTTAGGGTTTAGGGCTTAGTGTTTAGGGTTTATTATATGTATATTTATACAGTTATTGTCTCCTCCTTGTGTTATATATATATGTATATATAATATTTATTTATTTATTACAGCACATGCATGCATGCATGCATTCTTGTATCTATATATAAACATATATACGATTTAGGGTTTGGCACCACCAAGGGTTTAGGGTTTAGGGTTTAGGGTTTAGGGTGTATGGATGGATGGATGGATGGATGCATGCATGCAGGTAGTGGATCCATCTAATACAGGTAATGTAGATATTGGGGCTTTGCGTTATTTATTGGAGAATTTTAATGAGAAATTAGCGGACATAGAGACAGAAGAATTCCTTAATAAAATAAATATACAAAAAGAAGAAAAAAATATTAATATTCATGAATTATGTACTAAATTAGTTAATAGTATACAATAAATATATATAAATAAATATAAATAAATAAATATTAATAAATAAATTAATTAATAAATATTTATTATTTATTTAATCAACTACTCATTGTTATTCAATAAAGTATATTATGCATGCATGCATGCATGCATGCATGCATGCATGCTTGTATGCTAACTGGCTTACATGCATGCATGCATGCGGTGCTGCATGCAGTTCCGCAGCAGCAGCAGCAGCAGCAGCAGCACGAGCGTGCGCATGCAAAGGACTTTTGGGGCTTTCCTGCATGCACTAAGAATTCCCTTTGCATGCAATAAAAAGCCCCAAAATGTAAAACAATATTTAGTATTGTCTCTGGAGGGCAGCAAAACTACTACCATGCATGCATGCATGCATGCATGTATAATGCATGCACATAATACATGCATGCATGCAGCATGCATGCATGCATGCATGCATGCATGCATGCTCTGTTAGGTATTTAAAACGAGGAACATTTCGTTGGTTTTCTTCCTTCTTCGTCACAAGAATATTAATCATTCATTTAGGCCTCCTGCTGCTGCTACTGCATGCATGCATGCATGTGGTGTACGTACACCTCAAAAAGTCAGACAGGAATAGTGTCTCAACTCTAAACCCTAAACCCTAAACCCTATTTCCTACTAAAGAAGGAAGTGATGCTCGGTTGCTTTCTGTTGTTGTTAGCTCGTCCGCCTTTTGCTGTTGTTGCTGCAGCAGCAGCAGCAGCAGCAGCAGCAGCAGCAGCAGGAGCAACTGTTTTTTCTTGCATCTCCGTGTAGTCTTCAAACACTAAATATCCTCCCTCTTGATAGCAGCGACTTCCCGTTACCTGCAGAAACACAAACCCTAAACCCTAAACCCTAAACCCTTTTTTAGGGTTTGATGAGGGTTTATAAGATAATAGTAATTTAATACTTACCCTTTCTTTAACAGTTACGGGTTGTGAGGGGTCACTGCTGCTGCTGCTGCTGCTGCTGCTGATTTTCTTGCTCCTGCTCTTGGTGCTGCTCTTGCTGCTACTGCTACTGCTGCTTACAGCAGCAACAGCAGCAGCAGCAGCAGCAGCAGCAGCAGCAGGTGTATCTCCATCACACTGCATGCTATTATCTGTTGGAGACATTTCTTCTTGATGATCACAATCAGCAAATATATCCGGCAAAGGTCCTTCTTCTTCCTGCTGCTGCTGCTGCTGCTCTTGCTGCTGCTGCTGCTCTTGCTGCTGCTGCCGCTTGGTCTTCTTCCTAGTGCCAGGAGAGGTAGCTGCATCAAAGGCTAACAGCAGCAAAACAACCAAGGAGCAGCAGCTATCAGCAGCAGCAGCAGCAGCAGCATTAAAGGGGAAGCAGCAGCAGCAATAGAGCAGCAGCAACAACAACAAACCAGCATTGAATCAGCAACAAAAATAGCAGCAACAGCAGCAGCAGCAGCAAAGTAGCAGCAGCAGCAGCAGCAGCAGCACATACTTTTAGACATTCTCCTCTTCAGGTTGTCTTCATCATCTGATGCAGGCTGCTTGTCTGCTGCTGTTGCTGCTGCTGCTGTTGCTGCTGCTGCTGTTGCTGCTGCTGCTGTTGCTGCTGCTGTTGTTGCTGCTGCTGCTGCTTCAGGAGACGAGGATTCGGAGGAGGAGAGTGTCTCCTCTGCTGCTGCTGCTGCAGGAGCAGCAGCAGCAGGAGCTGCTGTTGCTGCTGCTGCTCTTGCTGGTGGTCGCTGCTGCAGCATAGAGTTGATGGATCGTTGCTTTGCCTTAGGCTGCGGCGCAATACATTTGCTGCTGCTGCGGCTCGTGCTGCTGCTGCTGCTGCTGCTGCTTGCTGCTGTTTCTACCTTTGATGAAGGTTGCTGTTGCTGTTGCTGCTGCTGCTGCTGTTGTTGTTGTTGTTGCTGCCTTGGAAGAGTAGAAGGGGTTCTGCGAGCTGCTGCTGCTGCAGTGGCAGCAACAGCAGCAACTGTTGCTGCTGCAGTTGCTGCTGCTGTTGCTGCTGATCGTGTGCTTCTTCGCTTAAGGTGCTGCGTCCTAACAGAAACAAAAGGAGGTACGAAGGGCTCCTGCTGCTGCCCCTGCTGCTGCTGCTGCTGCAGCTGCTGCTGCTCTGCAGCAGCAGCAGCAGCCATAGAGCGGCAGTCTAATTGAAAAGTTAGATGATCTTGACGAGGTTCGCCCTGTCCCTTAATGCAGCAGCAAGGCTTCCCTCCTGCTGCTGCTGCTGCTGCAGCAGCAGCAGCAGCAGCATCTGCTGGTGCCAGCTGCGCGCTGTATAGACACTCCAATGGGGGTAACGTTGGCTTAGATAGAAGAGCCCCTAAAAGAAATAAACACCAAAAAAAAAATAAACCCTAAACCCCAAACCCTAAACCCCAAACCCTAAACCCTAAACCCTAAACCCTTGACTTACTGTGTAGCATTATCCCGTTATTATCTGTGCTCGTAAAAGACACGTAGAAAGGAACCCCTTGCTGCAGTTGCTGCAGCAGGTATACGTATAAGACCCTGCAGCAGCAGCAACAGCAGCACACAGCAGCAGCAGCAGCAAATGGGGCTACAGGCCCACGCAGACGGCGGATGCCAAGCTATTCGTTGCAGGGTTTAGGGTTTAGGGTTTTACTTCTTAGCGAGCAGGAGAGGGACTTGTAGCTGCAAACTTATGGAGGTGGCCGTAACCTAAAGGAACATCATATGTAAACCCTAAACCCTAAACCCTAAACCTTAAACCCTCCCTTCTGCCTCCGCCTCCCTGGTGTTGCTGCTGCTGGTGTGGACGCTGCTGCTGCTGTTGCTGCTGCTGCTGCTTTTGTTGTTGTTGCTGTTGTTGTTGTTGCTGATCCTGTTGATGCTGTTGCTGCTGCTTACCTCATGGCCTGAATCCTCCAGCCAGCTGGCCAGCAGCGCCTTGACCTCCTCCATTGTGTAAACCCTAAACCCTAAACCCTAAACCCTCAATCTTGCAAGGCCAGGCTGACGCTTTTCGCACCTTCACGGGTGCTAACCCTTATTCTCTGAGCCCTAAACCCTAAACCCTAAACCCTAAACCCTAATAACAAAGCTCTATCTACAAGAGGAGAGGGGCCACCAACCCCACCGCCGCAGCAGCCCCCAGGATGTAAACCCTAGCGCCCAGATGGCGTGCAGGAGACCTTAAACCCTAAACCCTAAACCCTAAGCCCTTTTAAAGAAGAAGGGAATATAAATAGAGAAAACAATGCAAAGACTGCAGCAGCAACAAACCCTAGCTGCTGCAGCCCCAGAGGGCAGCCGACGGCTTGATGAGACCTTCGACGAGCACAAACCCTAAACCCTAAACCCTAAACTCTAAACCCTAAACCCTAAACCCTAAAGCCTAAACACTAAGATAACTCGACAACTTCTTCTTATTCCTTTCGGTTTATCCGCTTATTTCAACTGCTAGTCTCTACAAGCAGCAGCAGCAGCAGCAGCAGCAACTGAAGCAGCAGCTGCAGCAGCAACAGCAGCAGCAGCAACAGCAGCAGCTGTGTCTTTGTTGTTTTGTGAATCCTGATGGCTAAATAACCGACGCTTCTTCTTACCAGCACTGCGAGACTCTCCAAACCCTACCTCAAACCCTAAACCCTAAACTCTAAACCCTAAACCCTTTAGACTAGCAGATGTTTGGGCAGGTGGGACACGAGGACCTGGGCTAACCGGCTCCCTGTGCAGCACTCGTCCTGCAGCAGAAGCAGCAGAAGCAACAGCAGCAGCAGCAGCAGCAGCTGGGTATGCTGTCCCAAGGATGGGATGGCAAGGAGAGGGGGGCCCCCGGGGGCCCCCCTCCCTTTGACGTTGCTGCAGGCGCTGCTGCTTCTGCTTTGTCTCCCCCCCAGAGCAGCAGCAGCAGCAGCAGCAGCAGCGAGTCTCCTTCATTGCAGCTAAGGATACTACGGTTATCTGGTGGCCCTTCTCTGCATGCAAGAGGAGGTGCTGCTGCTGCTGCTGCTGCTGCGGAGTGTACGTACATCTCTACTGTTGATGGCTCTCTTATAAGAACAGAAGGAGACGGGCAGCAGATGCAAGTTATTGAATTCTCTAGCTTTAAAGGTAGGGTTTAGGGTTTAGGGTTTAGGGTTTAGGGTTTGTTTCTAACGTAGACAGTACTTGTTTAGGGTTTAGAGTCTCAAATTTAGGGTTTAGGGTTTAGGGTTTAGGGTTTTCAAACTTTTTTTTGCATATGAGGGTTTTGCGTTTGAATTAATAATTCTTACAAAAAATATTAAGGGTTTAGGGTTTAGGGTTTAGGGTTTAGGGTTTGTGTGTCTGTGTATATATAGAGCATGTACAGCTGCGTCGCCTTTTCCTTTCCCCCTCGGGTATACATTTACTTGCTGCTGCTGCTAATGGTGTTACGGTGTACGTACACCGCAGCAGCAGATCGGGGGTTTTGCTGCAGAGATTAAAAGGAAAAATAATTGAATGTGTTGCTTGGAGGCAACAACCTAATGATGATGCTGCATGCGCATTTATATTAGGTATATTAGGGTTTAGGGTTTAGGGTTTAGGGAAGGTAGCAGAGGTTAGA